AATTTCAACTATTCAAATAAAGTTCTCACAGCTTCCTTTAAAGACATCAGGCCAGACCACCAACAGAATAAGAAAACAGTGCCTTCGTGAAAAGTGCACACCCAAGTCAAACATACTGCACTGTTTCACATCCATTTGGGATCTATATCAAAATTATGGTATGAAGGCTTTATAAGCTTCATAATGCATTTGCCAGAAAAGCTAGCATGAGAGACCATGGATTTGAATTTTCTCCTTATTTGCACCTGCTTCTCCCTCCCTTCCCCTTATCAATTTTCAGATATAAAACACGAACAAAGCTAACATTGTTACCTTTATCATTCAAAGTACATTTTACTTAGCAAGTCAAAATTAACACAATCAAGTTACTGTTTTTACTATATGGAGAAAAATACTGGGGTATATAATTGTGTTCAAACAGGCAAACATAACAATACGCAATGCCCACTCATGCCCCAACCTCATTTGCTGATAAAGGGACACATCTGCCTGTTCAAAAGCCTAGGATCATTCCTTAGGGAGCAAAGGTATTATATTTACAATAAAGATCTGAGGCTTTTGCAGGGGCAACACCAGGAAAGGTGTCGGTGGGCACAATATTGCAGGGGCAACAGAGCATCCATACAGGAGTTTTTCCTGTGCTTTTCTTTCCTCATCCCTTTGTACATTTTAAAAATCAGGAATTGCTAGATGGCAATAGATCAGTGTAACATTATAGCAGTCTACTGCAATGATCTACTAGCCCCTAGCTTTCATTTTTCAAAAAATATTATGTTTCTAGCCCTTTTCATTTTGGAGTTGTAAGGAAATCTGTGCCACCTGCATCTTTTCCCTTATAACTCCACAAGAGAAAGGCTTAGAGACTTTTTAAAATGAAAATCGGGAACTAGCAAATTGTAGCCATACTACTGCAGGGATCTGGCAATTCCATTTTTTTAAAAGGGCCCCCCCAGAAACACACCAGCATGGTGGGAGAAATGGAGGCTTTGGGGGCTGAAGCAACAAAAATGAAAACAATGTAGGCAAAACCTACAAAAATGCACACCTTCCCGCCCACATGGCATTCAAAATTACTTTGACAGCAATATATATATATTTTTTAATTGTACTGAGCCAGATTTGGGAAAGACTGCAGCAAAGCGGGGGGGGGGCAGGATAAATGGATGACATCATGTTGATGCTCCCCCAACCACTGGTGCTGTAAGGAAGCCCAAACGAAGAAAAAATATCTACATGGAAACAGCTCAGATGACATTTTTAGTCAACACAAGTTTCTGACAAGATGAAACTCAAACACATTTAGGACCACAGCCACAGAAAATCTGAAAAGCTTCACCTCTGTGACTGGTGCCTACATCCGAGCTGAGTTGAACTGTTATTATTAAGCCAGCACAGTGAATTACAAAAGATTTCTATGGCTCTGGAACAACTGTTTCGTATGTTTCTGTGTTTAAGAAGAAGGACATTGTTTATGGATTCTTGCAAAAAAAAAAAGTTAATTTGATGACGACAGCATCTGATGATCCCATTCCTATTGCTAGGCCTTCTCAGATTAAAACTAAGTTTCAATTATATTTCTAACCTGTACTTTGTGACTTCAGAAAATGTCTCAAGTGATGTAATATACTAGTATAGCATGCTTCACACACTGTACTTGCCAGCAATTGACTGCTGGTTAAAGTGGCAAAAAAGCTACACCTGGAAAGTACAAAACCCAGCATATGAATTGAGCAATTTGACAAGGCAAAATGTATTTTTTGATATTACAGTCAGTATTGTATCCATGAGCCTGCAAGATAAGCAATGGAAGCCACAAGAGATGACAAATGCCACTTGCAGTCACTTTCCCCCCATCTCAGCAGCTGTCCACAGAAAGCTCGTTTTTATACCTGGAGGAGTTCAAAGAGCAACTGAAAATTATGGGAAACTACTGATGAAGACACAGATATGGAAACGTGTCAGCATCCCCTGGCTAACTGAGGTCCTCCTTTATAGTGCCAAAACGTATCCCATGGACCAAGACTGGGATCGGGTCAATTAACCAGCCTGTTGGCTGCTGGGTATTTCACCACAATCAATACTATCAAATATTCCTTGAAAGCAACAACACCATTGCGTATACCATGATTAAATCTCTCTACCATGTTTAATCTTTCAAATACCGTTCACAAATATTTACTGACATACAGTTAATGACATTGTAATTACACTGAATGTAATTGTTCAGAATGTCACACAACAGCTAACCCGCCTGGTTTTCAGTAATCCACACAAAGCAAGTTATAGTGCCTTGAATCTTACTGTCTGCTTCCGACCAGAGGAAGGGAGAAAGCAATTTCTGCTGATTCCTTTCTCCCTCTGTAGACCTCTGTCTCCTATGCTATTGATGAGGGTCCACTAACTCCTAGGAACAAAAATTCAGGAAGCTTACTAGGTACAGCAGGAGAGGGGAAAGTGAGATAGTTCTATTCACAGACCTTACAGGACACAAGTTGATATGTTCCAGGTCCAGAACACTGAACCATTGTTTGACAATATTTGATCAGATGGCCAACCCTACTACGAAAGAAATCTGGAACTGGAGACAGAAACTGGTTTCCTGAAAATCTCAGTCTTTTAAAGGACACTGACAGCCAAGCCATCATGAGAAGCTAGCAGACAGTGATCAATTCCAGAAATGTTGTATTGGTTCACATGCAACAGTGCACATTCAACAGAATTTCTGGGGGATTTTTCCTTCCGCAGTTGTTCTCGTATTAGATGCCCAACACCTTTTTATACTGATGGAAGTGGGAAAAGATGCTTGGACACAGAGAACTGCAGCAAGGAAGTCTAACAAACACATGCACTTATCACTTGGTAGCAATCACTGATTTCAGTCCGGTCAAGGGCACTGGCAGTTGTGGGGCATCTGAAGAAACAGTGTGTGGTGCAAGCTGTGAAATTTCATGCTGCCATAAATGAGTCCAGCAGCACCTTAAAGACCAACAAAAGACTCTCAAAAGCTTATACCTTGGAAAACTTATAGTCTTTAAGGCACTACTGGAATTAAATCTTGCTCTTCTACTGCAAATCAACACAGCTACCCACCTGAAACTACAATAAATGAATTAGCCTTGAAGATGCTGCAGTACTTAGGCTTTTGCTGTTTTCTACTATTCTTGTAGCAACATCTTGTAGCAACAAACAAATAATTGCCCATTGTTGTAACATCTCTATCATGACAAAAAGGAACTGCTGTGATCAGCACATCTCACTGCTAACCATTGGTAACCATTTCTCCCACTAGCTTAAGACTACTTTATAACATTACAAACTTGCTAACAGAAGGCTCTTTAGTGCAGGGATTAGCACAAAATGCATGCATAGATCACATGCTGCATAGCTTTTTGACTGCATTACACACAGTGGAAAACTGCAGTTCGTCACAGTGACCCCCATGTGCATGCAGTAAGTGTACGCAAAGAAACTCTCATGTGACAAACCATCATGTGCTATAATACATATTGTGCTATATACACACTGCTTTTTATGTTCATTCATACACAGAATAACTTCTGCATAGGAACTTTGTAACTTTGAAGTGGCCCCAGAATTCACTGTAAATTCATCAAGCCAAACAAACTGCTTTAGCCCTATGGTTCTGTGAACACATACACACTGGACGACTGAACCAATATTTCATACAACCGTATCAGATGAACTTTTCCCAGGGGAAATGTATCAAAACACCTACCAGCTGGTGCTACTAGGTACTCTCCAGAAACAATGCTCTCTTTCCCACGGATATATTTCTGAACCCCAGAGAGAAATTATTTTTTTAGCAAGCTCGCTCTGACAAAAACTGCAGAGGGGATAAAAATTTCACACAGCTTCTTCTTTACTAACTTTTCTAACGCCATGTCTTTGCAACAGTACAGGGACATTAAACCACTCACCCAGATATAAACAGGAAAAGCATCTCTAACAGTGTGGTCCTAAGCACACTTTCCTGGAAGTGTGTGGGTGTAAAGTTGCAGCTGACTCACAACCCCATAGTATTTTCGAGGCAAGAAAGGTGGTTTGCCATTGCCTGCCCCTGTGTAGTGACCCTGGACTTCCTTGGTGGTCTCCCATCCAAGTGCTAACCAGGGCTGACCCTGCTTAGCAGCCTAGAGCTGATGAGATCAGACTGGCCTGGGCCACCCAGGTCAGAGCTTCCTAGGAGTAAGCCCCTTTAAATAGCCTTGAGTAGGATTCTGCATAGATCTACATAGGATGACACCGTATATGACTTCTTAGATTACTAGCCCAACAAAGCACTTTGGCTACGTCCACCTTTGTTTCCCCCCATTCATTTCAGTATATGCCAGAACTGTCTGTCTGTATCATCTCCACCTATAGCAGGAATAAGAATAACAGGAAGAAAAATACACTTATTGAGCCACATGTTGTCAGGTATGGCACCGACCACTGTTCTATAAATCCAGTTTGCAACTGGCTTTCCCAATGTGGACAAGTCAATCCAGTTGCAAATTATTATTACATCCTCATTATACTGTGTGTGTGCACACGAAAGCCTATACCTTGAATAAAACTCTGTTGGTCTTCAAGGTGTCACTGGACTCAAAACTTTATTCTGCTGCTTCAGGCCAACACGGTTACCCACCGGAATCTAGCTACATGACACATGGACAGCGTAACAGCCAACCAAGTGTGGATGGGTGGGCCGGGGAAAGGGGGAGATCTAGAACGAGATCCGCAAACAGCCTACGCAACCCGGTCAAGACTTTTAGAGACGCGACCTGGAGGCCCGATTCAATGCATGCTCGTTCTGGAGGTCCCATTTTGCTCCTGCAGGGCTCTTCCGAACTCTGAAAGACCCAATTCTGCACTGGCGCTTCTGGGCGGCTGAAGAGATCCCAAATGCAACCACCGCCACCTCCCTCGCCTCCCCTCCGCCCCGTCTCTTCCTCCTCCTCCTCCTCCTCCCTGCCCTGCGGCTGCCGAGGCGCGGGCACCTGGTGAAGGCGAAGGCCATGAGGCTGAGGATGGTGAAGCTGAGCAGGGTGATGGTGTGAGGCCGGTAGAAGAACTCCAGCGTGATGTCCTCCACCTGCTGCTCGTTGATCATGCGGAAGTGCAGGCGGTAGTTCACATCGTCCTTGCTCAGGGTCCGGCTCCCCACGCACGACGCCATCCTCGCCCGGCCTCTCCCCTCCCCGGGCGCTGCGGCCCGGTTGCCCCCCTCGCCTCCACCCGCCCGCGGCTGAAAGAGAGCGGAGGAAACCGGAGGAGGAGAGAAGGGAAGGCTGGCCAGACAGCGCCGCCGCGGCCCCGCGAGGGCATGGCAGGGGAGGCGCCGGCGCGGAATGGGCGGGCCCGGTAGGCCGGGCTTCGCCTCCACCGCCTCGCGGCTGAGGCCTTCGGCTCGGAGGGCCGCCTTTGGCGTAGAGGGACCGACCCAGGCCGAGCGGCCGGCCTGCAGGAAACTGAAGGGGCGGCCCGGGCTGTTCCCTGTCTACCGCCTAGATGTCAGGTAAAAACATCTGCTTGCTGGTGGGTTTACCCCAAGCAAAGGCCTCAGCCCCGGAATATATTTTATCACTCATCCCCGGCTCTTGCCAAGCAAAGAAGCTCCGTTGCCAGCGTTTTGTCTCCTCGTCGTTTAAAACCCTCCGCGGTGGGCTGCTGCGGGCCGACCAGCGTGTGCGTTTTTATTCGCGAGTCAGTTCCGCGGCGATTTCTGTCCCCGGGGGGTATGAATTCCTGATGGGTGGCCCCGTGGTACTTGGTAACAGTGGAATAAAACAGGCCGCCGCAAGGCTGACAAAATGTATTCCGGCAGGAGCTTTCCTGAGTCAGTTCATCAGAGGCATGTGGTGCCCATTTAAAGCTAAATCTAAACTAGAGTAAAAGGAACAAAAAGGGGATGGGGAGAAGCTATAAGGAAAGGGGGGTAATTCTGGACCAGATTGGCCTCTTATTTTGCAAGAACAGCGCGAGTATAGAATTAGTTTATGTTTAGTTGACAGTGTCATTGTTCTGCGTTCCTGGGGGTAGGTAGGGACCTCTTACCTTGTCCTTAAGCAGCCCTGTTCCCTCTTTTTTCCCCCCCTGTATGGCTAGGGGACAGATAGATTGTTCTTAGAAGTGGTGGATCTAGAGGGAGCAGGTTGTAAACAGTAATGGAATGAAAAGGCCATGAAATGCACAAGATGCAGTCTAAGATTGCAGGTCGCCTTGTTGGTCTGAACAAAAGGCCTGTAATGTCTTTTATTAATACCTACAAAACGATACATAAGCTTTTGAGTTCTCCAGAGTATTTCGTTTGGGGGGGGGGGAAATGTTTCAGGTTGTGATCTTAAAACTTTGCCCGCATTTTGCATAGAATGCAAGTCAGCTTTTAATAGAAAGTAGAACTAGTATTAGGTTGCGTCTTGAGCCTTTAGTTAGAAGAAAGGACAATGGTAGGCTCCAATTACAAATATAAAAAACTAGTAGTTAAACATTTCTAACTTTCTATGACACTTTTTTCTGTTTGAGAGTTGCTTAGCAGGTAAGCATCATGAACGTTCACAAAATCAGAGGAAACCATTCTTGTAACAGAGGCCTAAATGAAGAATATCAAATCTAATAAATTCTAAATCAAAAATTTAAATTCAGAGTTTCTCTTTGAAGTTCTTTTGTGGAATAGCGGTGACTTTCATATCAATAAAGTGTCATGGGAAATTGTCAGGATGTTCATATGGACACATGGAGCCTCATAGTGAATCAGACCCTTGGTCCATCAAAGTCAGTATTGTCTGTTCAGACTGGCAACAGCTCTCCACGGTCTCACGTAGAGGCCTTTCACATCACCTACTGCCAGATCTTTTTAACTGGAGATACTGGGGATTGAACCTGGGATCTTCTGCATGCCAAGCTAATGCTCTACTACTGAACCACATCCCGTACTCTTTTCACATCCCAAACTCTTACCTCATCTACCAGCCTGATTTACAGACTATCAGAAATATTATCCTTGATGAGAGTACACACCGTTCACAACTTTGTCATCTTTCACAATTACTTTGATTTGGAGAGAAGGACGGTTTCTTCAGGTTATTAGTACTGCATGGCTCTGCAACATGTCAGCATATTCATAACTGATTTAGGGCTACTTTTCCTCAGTTCATGTCTCTAAATTATTTTTCTTTGCTTCCAGCATCAAACTGACCACATTCAAGCAACAGGTTTACTTTCCAGAAACCTGTTGCATAATGTACAACTATGTAAAAAAAAATTCTATGATTTCCCTGGCCTTTGTTTAGGTCACTGGCCAGTGGATTTGGAACTTGGACAATCAATTATTGGAGTAGGTTTAGTAGGAAAGGTTGGGTAACTGTGGACCAGCAGTGTTGGGAATTGTAGACTATACGGCTAGCATACTTAGGCGTTGCATCTACCAGCTCTCCTAGTGGTCTGTGCCTTGCGAAGACCACTAGGAGCAATGATGGCAGAGCAAGGGATATCAATGCTTTTGGGGTTGGGAAAGTACAGCAGTGGGACTAGGCAGGGAGACAAAGGAAGGGGACAGAGAAGCAGAGTAGCTCGGCCCCAGCCAGTTTGGTGTAGTGGTTAAGTGTGCGGACTCTAATCTGGGAGAACCGGGTTTGATTCCCCACTCCTCCACTTGCACCTGCTGATGTGACCTTGGGTCAGTCACAAGCTCTGGCACAGCTGTCCTTGAAAAAGAGCAGTTTGTGTCAGAGTTCTCTCAGCCCCACCCACCTCACAGGGTGTCTGTTGTGGGGAGGGGAAGGGAAAGGACTTTGTAAGCCGCTCTGAGACTCCAAGTGAAGGGCGGGGTATAAATCCAATCTCTTCTTCTTCTTCTTCTTCTTCCAGCCTACGTCCCATCCTGATGTTATGCCAACTTCTCCAGGAAATTCCTGGAGACCCAATCCAAGTTATCTACCAAGGAAAATTGGGTGTTTGTGGCTGTGCGTAAGTTCTATACCAGTCTATACAGAGGTCGGATGGCGAATGAGACGCTCGGCTATATCCCAGGAAGTGAGACAACACGCTAGTCCTTAAATAAATGTTGT